ATTTTTCAGTCATGTTTTAGGCTCTGATGTAATAAAATGTCTATCAGAATAACAGCAGGGTTTTTACAATAATCAAAACATACAATGAATTTAATCTCCTGTTAGAGTAACTATATAATTCTTTCCAAAACAAAGCTGACTAAAGGTTTCTGTACGCAGGAAAGTTTTCTAGTTATGCCATTATAATTATAGTGGAATAATTAAATTGGTACAGCTATACCAGTTTAAGTTTAAGTCCTGCAAATTCAACATTTATTGTGGAATAGATTTAAGAATTCTGCAAAGATGCAAGTTAAACCAGAGAAAGGCCCTCTAACTCTCTTCAGGGAGTATTATACCAGAACAACTCTAACATTTAAATTCACTTTTTTCTTATCCCAGAATAACTTATATACAAGCCCCAGAAATTCGCATGTTTACTGTTAAACTAATAACATTATCCAGAAATCCTGGAAACTACTATGTCACAATAAGAACCTAGAATAATTACAGCAGTCTTAGTGTTTGGAATCAAACAAAGATTTTTTTTTCAAGTAGACTGAAGATTTGTTGTTAGTCAGATTCATAGTACAGTGTAGGTAGAGGGGGTTGATTGCCATCAGCACAAAAGATAATTTGGGACATCACTCTGAAACCTGAAGTTGCAAACACACTGAGCTTGCATCCACCCATGCACACTAAGGCTGTTTGAGACTCCAAGACTGAAGTGTAATGATAGTAGTGGTGGTGGTGGTGGTGGTGGTGTAAAGCAGAGATTGACAGCTGCCCAACTGAATCCATTCACTGCTGTTTGACTTGAGTTTGGCTCACTGTTGGCAGTTCTGCTTTGACCTACGCCAGCACCCTATTTAGCTAGAACATGTTCCTGTACTAGCGAGTGGCTCAGCAGCATCTCAAAAACACAAACATTAAGGTTACTTGGCTGTTCAGCCAGAAAGAACTATGTAGCATCTCTTCAGCTTTGGAGGAAACACTCAGACTCCCCCAGGACAGTAAAGGACTCCACATTACAGATGTTCCTAAGTGTGCATATATCAGGAAAGAGAACCAAGAACACAACTCTTACTTTTCTGTCTTTGGTAACAGCCCACACCACATTTACTCCAACAGCGACGTGCATGATCCCATTTTCAGAGCCTGGGGATTCCACAACCGTCCAAGAAATTCCTGCAAAGATACAGAATAGAGAGTCCTTGTACATCGGGTTCTCGTTATGATCTCTAGAAACCAAAGGCGCTTTTCTGTATGACAAGACAGAACTTTACCGTGAGGGTTATTTCTGTCAATTCCCTCTCTCACAATAGCTTGTCCTTCCCAAAGAGTTGCCCATAAGAGGTCATATGGTCCACAGCTGATCTGTACTACTTCACCAGGGGTGGCTACTAAGGACCACAAAGAGCCTTCCGGATTGTGGTGGCAAACATCTTCTCTGTACCATACCTAGACAAACACAAAAACTTTAGAAAAATGCTACTGCAACACAAACAATCACAACCTTTAGGACAAACATGCAGTGGTATGGAGAGAATGGCCCTTCTCAACCACCTCTCATTTTACAGCATTTGCTCTTTACCCCTTTAAATGGCATTTGCTGATGCAGATTACACAGCTGCAAACTATTTCCCTGTGTACCCAGGGAGGAGACTTCTATAGCCTAGCTTTTATGATGCAAGCCAAGTTGGAGCAGGCACATGATCTGTTGCCACAAGATCCCTATGTGTTTCAACATTTAAAGCACATAAATGGGCTTCAAACACGTTGAATAAACTAAGCTAAGTCTCCTTCTTTAGGAGAAAGTATATCACTCATATGAAGACATACATACAACATGCTCAGGTTATTATTGGACAATTTGATTAAGCATACAGAACTGATCACTGGCTGACACAGTTTGGATAGGAGTCAAGACCCCATCACATATGCAGCCTTTGGTGGTGTCCAGTCCAAACACAGCCCAATCCTGTGTTTATCCACAGCAGAGAGAAGGTGTCACTTTGGGGTTCTGCACTTGCTACCCTTCACCATGTCTACATGTTTTCTTCTTTAGCATACATCGGTAGCAGGAAGGTTCAGCATGAAAAGCATCCTTTGATCTATGCGTGCTCCTCTTTGTGGCGGATAATGAGCACAGCATTCTTACATTCATGAACATTTTATTTTTGTAGAAATCAATGCATGTCTATACCATAATGCTTTGGAAGAGCTAGCTTGGGTATCCTGGCAAAGCACTATATTGGTGTTGTGTAGATATAGTTTTAGTTATAAATAAATAACTCTAAGGCAGGAAGCTATTATTTACAGATGAGGAAACTGAGGCATCCGGGGTTTGAAGCAAGTCATCCAAGGCTACAGAGCCAATTGGTAGTAAAGTGGGCACAGAATCCAGAAGCATCTGTTATAACCACTTGATTATAATCTCTTCCAGTACCATAATTACTAGGGCAGGGCAACTGCCCCCCCAGTGCTGACTCAGTGGGGCATGAAAAAACTTGCGATCATGCCCGCAGCACGGCAGCAACTGGAAGTTGCCACTGCCCCTATGCCCGGCTGTGTTGCTATGCTGCTGCTCTCTTCTACCATGTAAAGCTATTTCTAGGCCTGAGAGTCACATGATAGGAACAGTCCAAGGACAGAAAGAGGGTAGCTGAGATTACACCATAAGAATAAAATAAGAAAAGCAGAGCAAGATTCTACAACACTGGGAAGGATCCGAGAGGCTTATGGAAACAATGCCAGTTGCTGAGAATTTGGGCCTGGAATATTTAATTATAATAAAGGTTTTATAGGGTTGGATTCCAAGGCTAGCTCAGGAGGATTTAATCCCTTCAGCAAATTTAACTTGTCCCTCTGGCATTCTTAAAAACAATAAGGGAGCCAACCCTTGAGGAACTATCTAGATTGAAGGAGAAAGGTGCTTAGTTAAATCAAATTAGCTAATGTGACTTAAAACCCTGTGAAGGGGTAGACTACTCCCTGTGTTGGATGGGTTTAAAGTAAAAGGTTATTTTAAATGACACCTTGTGTAAGATGCATCCTTTTCCTTTACACTTCGCATTACATATTTAGAAAGTAAGCTGTGTAGGCCAAGGACTGTCTCAATATGTTTGTACAGTAACTGGCATAAGAGAGCCACTTCTTGTTTGGCTTATAGCTGCTTACCTTAATAAATATGATAAATAATGTAAATTAAATCTACTCAGTTAAAAAGATGCAGAAGGCTGCCTGGTCACTCACTGTGGATTAAACTGGGTTTATTCTGGTGTGGTTTAAACCAGTTTGGACAAAGAGAAGCTAAACCAAAATAAGCTTCTCCTTAGGGTCCTGTCACTCCTCATCCTCCTTTCCAGATCCTACCGTTCCACTTCAAACAATTTCAGAGCAGTGGCACCCAACCTTCTGGCCCCTGGGTTGGATGAGTGGTGCAGAGTCAGTCCATGGGCTGGATTCATTGTGGGGTTGGTGCAGGAGGCTGGCTCCCATCTAGCCATGTGCCAGCCTAATCCCACACTGCCCCAATCCAGCTGCATACCACCCCATCTCATTCTGCTTCAATCCCATGCCAGCCCAATCTGGCCATGCGCTGCCCTGATCCCACACCACCCCGATTCTATACCACCCTGATCCAGCCACAAGCTGCCCTGATCCTGTGCCATTCTAATCTGGCTGCACGTTAGCCTGATCCAGCTGTGTGCTGCCCCAGCCTGCACTGCCCCAATCTGCCTATGCACCCCCACATCTCACACTACCTTGATCTGGCTGCAGGCCACTTCATCTCTTGCTGCCATAATCCCATATGAGCCTGACCCAACCACATGCCACCCTGATCCCACAATGCTTTATGCACCACCATAATCCTGAACCATTATGATCCAGCTCTGCCCTGGGCCGCCATGTGGACAGATCAGTCTCACCATGTGCTGCCCCAGTCCCATGCTGGCTTTGACTATGGTGGGACAACTCATGGTGTAAAACAGGGCAGCCCAACCTGTAGTATGGGTGTCACAGATGGCATGAGCAGTCTCCGTGTGTGGCATACAGCAGATTGAAGAGGGGACATACAGCACAGTGACAGATAGGCAAGAGAACAAAAACTATAGAGTCAGGCCAGGCAGGGAGCAGAGAGCAGATTGGGTAAGGGAAAAGGATGGGAGTGGCACTCAGGAAGGGTGTGGAGCTAATTTTTGGCACCCCTGCCATAAAGGTTAATACTTACTGGTGTAAAGTACTGTTCAACACAAGCAAAAGGACTAAAAAGCACCTACTTTGACACCTTCAAGAGAAATGTGGATGTTTATCTTGCTGGGATCCAATGACCCCTGCTGACTTCCTGCCTCTGGGGCAGGGGGCTGGACTCGATGATCTTCCGAAGTCCTTTCCAGCCCTGATGTCTATGAAAATTTTGCCCTTTTTGCTGGTTTAATTTAACATTCAGAAGCAACTTTTTCCTATGAGATAACACTAATGAACTCTTCCTCTTTAGTTTTAATTTAGCTGAATCATTCAGCAGCCTGTCACATCTTCTATGCCTCAGTCAGATATGCAATCAGCACAGATCCTGACAAGCATGTGATAGCAATGTGACAGAGCATCTGTCTGGGTTCAAATCCTGGAATTCTTAGCCTCCTACACAATGATGACTTAAATACAAAATAGAAGAACACACATGAAAAGGATTATACCCTTCCTTGTAAAGAAACTGCCCAGACTGATAAACGGCCAGCAGGCTCATCAGTGATTTCCCATCCTCCAATGGAGATATCATTGAAAGGGTCTGGCAGCTGACTGGGATCTTCAAGGGATATAATCTATAACAAAAAAAAAAGGAGTTAGAGAAAAGGAGGAAGAGGTAATATCACATATACCCAATGGCTTGTACCTGCAGGGAAATGAGCAACTTAGCTCAGTTGACCACTGGTCAAATGGTTGGGCATGGAGGACAGTCTAATTGATCTCCCCCTCTTACTCAAAGCTCCATCCTTCAGGCAAGGGAAGGGCACACCGGTGGAGAAGCATGGAGGAAACTTTCACTTCTACTGCTGCAAAATACCTATTCTTTGGCTCTACAGTGGATAATCAAATCTGAGGCCTGGGACAAGCAGACAGAAATCCCCTTCCCCTCCAGACCTATCTGTGCATACAAAAGACTGGACAATTGCCTGCATCCAAGTTATAGACCCAAATATGCAGACAGTTCTTAGCCTTTAATATTAAAAAGTTTGGAAGATAGTGCTGGAATTTGCGGAGGAGCTAAGAGTTAGATATCTAAATTCCACTGAAGTTCTACAGGATTTGGACACTGAATAATCCCAGCCTTGAAATTATGATGCTTGCAAGAGGTGTTGCATTTGCAGCTGTGGAGTCCAAGGTCCTGTCTTTTCTTCCCACAGCATATAAGCAGTGACAGAAGTATAGACTTGCCCACTTTCATGTCATCATTTTCTTCATACACCACTTAAGGTAATAAGTACATTAAAAAAAAAAAGATAGAGACCTTTGCCCAAGTGTCTCGTGACTTATATCTCCTGTATCTGATCCATCTTCTGCGTCGGACACAGGAATTCCATTTCTTATCCTTTGTGTAGGTAGCTGGAAAGTCTATTGCATATGTCCAACCCTTTGAACAGAGGTTTACTTTCATAAAGATCAGAAGTGGAGGAACACATTAAATAACAACTCAAAACATTTCTACAAAAGAATCTCTCCTACAAATGTAATACAAATTACTGTGCATGTAGCTTTGATCAGTGGATTTCCTAATTCTGTATCAGTTAATGAATCTACAGATATAGACTGCATTTCAAATACCCTACTGCATACATAGAAAACCAGTGAGCACTTTACTTTTGCTGTAATAAAAATGTTACAGTAAATAGTAATGGCATCCAACTGCTCACATTTTAGGGCAAGCTCCAAACCCACTGAAGTTAACGGAGATTTCTTCTGGCTTTAAAGTCTTCTATAAGACCCCACCAGTGCTATACTGCAAGCCAGCTACTTCCCAGAAAAAAAGTAGCTAGGGGAGGATAAGAAATGCCTTTTACTTTACTAGGATGTGGATTCCCAGAATGGATCCCTCGCCGGTATTGTTCACCTACCCCTTTCTCTGTTGGTTCCCCTCCAATATTTTCATCCACATACCAGTCAGACTCCCACTCCCAGTGTGGTGAGGGCAGTGTGAAACTGTCAAGTTGCTGATGTTTTAGCCCGCTCACATCACTCCATTGCCAGCGATCACTGGGCATTAATTTCTCACAGAAGCCACCAACTGGATTCCAACGCTGCCAAGAGAAGAAAGGAACAAAGGTCACATATGCAGTGCCTTCAAGGTTGTGCTGCCTTGTTAGATTGCAGACAGAGCCTCAGAGGTCTTCAGTGGTGTATCTATCTTGTTCTGCACCAGCAAAAGGGTGTTGTTTTCCATCCTACCTCTTTCTTGTTCCCTGAACAAAACAAATCTTTTACTGCTATAATTGCACAGGATCAAAGGAACATAGGGCTGGAAGGGACCTCACAAGGCCAACTAGTCCAGCTCCCTGCTCAAGGCAGGATCATCCTGACTAAACCATCACAGTCATGTTATGATTTTTGCTAACACAGTTAGGGCCATTAGGGATGTGTTTTTTAGTCGCTATGTTGACAAAACTTTATACCGCAGACCACACAACACTGTTACTCTCAGTCACAATGAAATAGCTATCACTATTCCTTTGATGGGTGCATTGCATCTTATGGAACAAAGATCAAAGTGTATTCATATTTATATAAAATATTATCTATACCTGCTGGACACCAAGCTAAATTGCGCTACACATTTATTTTCCCCTTCCCCCACTATTCATGGTCGGGTTGCTATGAATTTTGTTGTTTGTTTTCACAAAAAACTTCCTTTTCTGTTCTCCAATTTCTATTTTTCATGGTTTTAAACTAAATTGTAACCAAATGTTTACACAACCAAATGTTCCTTTCACATTTACATTCACAGTTGAGATAAGAAGATAAAAAGTTATGCTTTTTTAACCAATAACATGTTTCATGGGAAAAAGAACATTCTAAAAAGGAGTGTGTAATTAAGCAATATATAAAAAATGAGCCCAGGAAAATATTTAAATACCCTCCAATATTTAAATACAAATCTATATTTATCCATCCATCCCTCAGAAAACAAAAGAAATATGCAGGAAATAATCTTTCAATTTCAGCTTTGAAATGACTTTTACCATGTATATGAGAGTTTTTGATTTCTTTCATTTTTTTTAATTGTTTTTCTTTACAATGCAATTATAAAGGAAAATGTTGATACTCCTTTTATAGAGAAGCTGATAGGATGTGACAAGTAACAGAATTCTATATTTTTTTAAGAACTATATAAAGGAAAATAGCCTCCTACAGAATTTAAATCAACAGGAATAACATTTGCTAAAAAGCTATATAGGCTTTGTTGCTGTGAAGTGATATGGCATCAGTTTTTGGTCAGCAATGGGATCAGGTGATTCTGCCTGCAGTGGCTGGTGTTCAAGAGCACCCTGTTTGCAAGCGATGTAAAGATTAAGTTTTCCTGCTGGGGGGCAGGGAGATATTTGGGAATGTGAACCTCTGCTGAGAATTAAAACATTAAAAGAACAGCCTGCTATTTGCTGTAAAACAGTTCTTCAGAGGATTGAAGTATGGATTAAAAATAAATAAATCAGTGACTGCTCAGGATGGTTTGCAGGACACAGAGAAGGCAGGGATCCAGCAGAAGCTTGCCTGTCTGCCCTGTTCAATCTGAACACCAAATACGGCAACTTCTTATGCTTCTTTTTTGAATTCTCTCATATTTATCACACTGCATTGCAAACAACTTTATTACTGGAAAACCGATCAATATGGACAACAGAATTCTGATCTTACTGCTAACCCTGCCTGAAAAATTCGTGACAGTTTTTGCAGGTAGGCTCGTGATTTACACACCTGATTTTCATAGGTTTCCTCCTGGTACCTAATAGGAACATCACTTGAGAATACATAGGTGTAGACCTGATGATCACAAGCTATTCCCCAACAACACTGTTTGACAGCAGAGACCCGTTTGAACTCCAGCTGCCCATCTTTGCAGAGTTCCCAGTACTGGCCTGTTGTGGCAAGAGTGTACACCCTCCCAAAGATATCAACTGCCCACAGGAGGGAGCTCGGCATCGCCATGGCTGAAAGACAAAGAAAGACATTAGCATAGAGGACCCTTATAAAAGGAGGGCTTGAGCCCCAACTTCAAAGTCTGAACAGTCCTGAACTCTGGGATGGTTCAAACCTGGACTCTGAACTGAACAACCTCAGTTATCTCCAAGTGCATCAAATTCAGATGTTTTGAGGGAGTCCATGGTGGTCAGGCACCCAAATCCCATTGGCTTTGCGACTGCTGGTACCTAACTACCTTTGGCTCCTTTGAAAATCCCAGTGGAGAACTTTATAGTCAGTGAAGAGGGATCCATTCTTTGACACAAGTAGCAGCCAGAGTGTCCGGCTGAGTGGGGAAGTCAAAGGGCCTTGGCACATTGATAAAGGAGCCCACAAGAACTGCACTGCTACTGTTTCCTTGCTAAACACAGGCCTTCACACTTCAGAGTGACACATTTTCCCCAACCATACTATTTATCTGGCCCCACAAATTCATGGGGCCACTCCATCAGCCTCCTCTTGCTTAATGGCCTAGATGGCCAGGTCAGCTCAGAAGGAGGAAACTCAATGGGGAAGCTGACTGTGGGACTTATTTTCAGTCCGTGATAGTCTTGTGACTCTGGGCAAACCCCTCTGGGTGTGACCTGTTGTCCTATATGGATTTATGCCTATACTCACAGAATTCAATTAGACTAGCACATTTTACCAGCACCAAGTCCTTTTTTTTGGTAGGCTGTGCACTTCTTACCAATGAAACAGTAACAGAGGAGTGTTCAGGATTACTCATTATGTGGGACAGCTACTTGGGTGTATTTTCAACTTTTTTTTAAAACTGTGTGATATGCAGTCCATGTAGCCAGAGGCCAAGAAGGGAAAAGGATCAAATGTAAAACAATGAGGAAGCACTGCCTAGAACCAGCATTCAACTATTCAACACACTACTTCATTGTCTGTTAAGGGCAGGGTTGCGCTCACAACATAGTCCTAAAGAAAGTAGCCTGCTTGCCTTCTCGCTGGTAATCAGCAGGGAACCAGAATGGAATGGCACTAGCCCGTTTCTCTGACAGTGAACAGAAAGTAACTGAGAGGGCAGAGAAAAGTAAGCCTCCATCAGAGAGCACAGAGCATGTTCACTTGGAATTTCAGTCCATGATGCTATGGGGGGAGAGGAAAGAAGAGGGCATGCAGAGGCTTAGACACTGAGATATTGGGGACTTCAACTCCTAGAGGTCACTAAGAGCTGAGAGTGCCAAGCACTTTGCAGGAATGAGTGGGTGGGACAAAGACCATTAGAAAAGAAAATGTGCCAGAGGGAAGGAGATAGCAGCACAGAACAACCCCAACAACCAAGACAACATCTACCCCATCTTCTTGGGAAATCTTCATTTGAGCTCCAGACCTTCCTCTTTGGTTGTAGCCTGCTCATCCCAACAGATCATGAGCTGAAGGCATTCAGAAAGACTATAGCAATGAGGGCCAAAAAATACTACGGATTTAAGAGAAGAATAATTTTACACTTAAAAATGCAAAAAGGAAATTTAGGAGATGTCTTAATAGACTTCTGTCTGCACATAGGCAAGTCATTTCTCCTTCACACCTTGGTTTCCCACTTGGTAGAATGGGAATTGCAACAGGCAGCCTAGGGTTCCTTTTACTTCAAGGGAAGAAGCTGTAGCAGACACAGTCTAGGCAGCTGAACAGAGGTTAACTGCAAAGGAGGACACAGCAAGGAAGCACTGTTACCTAGGTGAAGAGCTGCACACGAAGTAAAAGGGGAACACTTGCAATCATTCAAGGGAACACTGCCCACAGCAAGCTGGCTGCAAGAGAGCAGGCAATTAGATATGAGAGCCAGGGCCCGATGCCCACAGCCCAAGTGGGTGAGGAGCCTGAGAGGGGCAAGACGTAGGTCCAGGGGCTCAAAGCCCTAGAGGGGTGAGACCAGGGCCAGGGACCCACAGCCAAGGGAGGCAAGAGCAGGCCAAGTGGCCCACAGCCCCAGACGGTGAGACCAGGACTGACAGCCCCAAACTACAAAGTAGGCAAGATGAGTTGAAACTCAGAAGTCAGATCCAACACAGTGGGCAGGGGCTAGAAGGCCCAGTGAGAGGAAGGAGCAGAGGCCAGGAAGGCTGAGGCCCCAATACAGGGAAAGTGACTAATCAGTAACGTCTGTGAGGCATAGGCAGGACTGTAGGGGTGGTCAGAGGCCATGAACAGCCTGCAAGGCAGCAGGTGCCCTGGGGCATGCATGGGCTCACCTAGTGAGAAAACTGGATTGGGTATGCTAGGGTCTGAGAGGAATCCACTGGCAGGAAAACAGGGCAGGGCTTTCTTTAGGGCCCTTTGGCAGCTTCCCTTTCCAAAATTATCTAAGAACAGCAAGGCATGGCAGGTGGGAGTGAAGGGCAGGGACCTACAGCCAGAGCAGGATAGGAGCTACATGGCCTTCAGGGGCTTCACAACCACCCCTAGAGTGCTGGTTGTGTTATAGACAGAATTATATTTGTATCTCACAAAAGCTTGTGCAAGCCTAAATTATTATTTGTAAGGAACATACTATCTTTGAATAGCAGGTACCATGGACAGTGTTATTGTGAATGTAAGTACTTATTGCAAGTGGAAAGTGATAATGCATGAAGCACTGGAAGAATGGAACCCAAAGAAAGGAGCTTTTCAAAATTAGTTTTAAAAACACTGTAGTATAAACCACATTTCCTAACAAAAGAAAATAGCAAACATTTAACCCAAGTGAGCGTAAACACAACAACAAAAATAATCACCATTTCTGAAGTGCGTCGGTAGGATTCCCTGAGTTTGGAGCCTAGGAATAAACCTGGATTATGGTTAAGTATTTGACTGGTCAAATATACTTGGTCTGCTGACTGATCAAATACTGGTCAAGTATTCATTAGAAGAATAAAGAGAGACTTTAATCTTCAAGAGGTTAGACACCTATGCTTATTACAAAAAAAATTAGCTGTTATGAATCAATTAAATTAAATTCTAAAAGCTATAATAATTTATTACAAGTGACAGTTTCAGATAAGTATAACTGTGGATGGTATTAAAAACTGAACTTTTCTCCTCTTTGGCTTTTATCCCAGAAGCCCTGCTGCTAGCTAGTTTTGGCTCCTCCCCTAGTACAGCATAGCTATTGCATCCCCAGATGGCTTAAAGTGGGGAAAGGAAGAGAGGCTGGAAGAGGGGAGAGGAGCAGGGCACAGGAGGTACCTAAATGGAGAGAGAGTGAGAGTGAGAGTGAGAGAGTGTGTGTGTGTGTGTGTGTGTGTGTGTGTGTGTGTGTGTGTCATGACTTCTGCAGAACCGGCGGGCAAGGAACTCTCATTCCAGTCCTTGCTAATCGATGACAACACGATGCTATAAGAAAGGTAGACCACTACCTACCCAAGGGCTTTCTTGGCTTTGTAGAATATTTGACCAGTCAAATAATAGGCAATCAACTAACATTATTCAACTGGTCAACTGACTGGCTTGCCAACTCAGGATCTGGCTGACTCAATGAAGATATCTGCCAAGAGCACAGCATCCATTAGAGAAATGAGATGCAAAGAGGACAAACACTTCTTCATACAGTACAGACATTAATCCACATATGGGCCTCTCTTTGCAAGAATACGATCAAGAAAGATAGAAGAGAGACTGAAGAGGTTCAGAATGGCAATCAAATCCCAGGGATTTGCCCAGGGAATGGGTTCAGATTTTGCAATGACAGCGTTTAGCTTTGCAGTGGGAATACAGAAGATCATCATGTTACTTATAGCTGGAAGAAGAGTTCGATAGGACCAGACTGAGATCTAAACAGATAGTCCCGAAAAGGGAAAATGAGCCATTCTTGTTTACTTTTTCTATATAAAGCAATGAAAAAATGGAAAGGCAACAAGTGTAAATCCAAATGAACAGTAGACAAGTGTTAATTTATACATATAGGACCTGAAGCCACTTTTGAAAATGGGACTGTGCATTTGCACAGCCTATGTCATTCACTGCAGCAGTAAGAGGAATACTGCCAGATTCTCAATGGTGCCCAGCACCTGCAGCACACATTCATTTCAGTAACTCTGAACAACAAAAAAACTCAATGTTGTCCAAATCCCCTCCCACTCTTTAGGACAATTGGATAATTTTAACCATAAATGTGCGCAGATACTTACATAAAGATATTTAAAATTTCCGGCTACATGGTATAACGTGATTGCTAGAACAGTCAAGAAAATACTGACCCCCCTTTCTACAAGACTGAAAAATTCATTGGGTTTTTCATAGAGGGCTCTGTTTCTCTCTTCAGGTACTGGTGGTTTCTAGAGGCAGGACACGTGATGAGACTGTCCCTGTGTTGTGCCCCTATGGAAATTTTTCAGTTTCAGGGTAAACTTATAAATCTTTCATTCCTTCCAGATAAACATACTTGGCCAGCTTTTATAGTACTAACAGAAAAGGGCTTAAGCATAATGGTCTTGCTTAAGGGCCTTTCATTCAAATGGATCTCAAAGCACTCTGCAAACTATATAACATGGTATGCAAGTCAGGTATGCAGGTTGTAGCCGTAATGGCCTAGAGCAAAAAGCAATCAGGGCTCATGGACAGAGATGATATCTTTTATTAGACCGACAAGATTTTTGCAAAAAAATGTTCTGCAAATGTTAAAGAATTTTTTTTTCTGCAAAAATCTTGTTGGTCTAATAAAAGATATTATCGCTGTCCACAGGCCCCGATTGCTTTTTACATAACGTAAGAGCATTCATTTGCCTGTCATGGAAGGGGAGCTGCTTCCTGGGTAGAAACAAGGCCTCCCTACTGCACTGGTTATTCAGCCTCACTAACTCTGGCTAGGCACAGAGTTGGCCGGGTCCCCCGAATCCCAAATGCTGGAAACTCCAGTGCAAGCAGCACAGAGATCTCTCCTTTCGCAGCTGATGATGCAGACAAGATTTGTCTAGTAGGAAGGACAACAGCTCAGTAGCACTGCGCTGCCTTTGCCTTGCAGATGTCATCAGACGCTCCAGATGGCCTCTCTTCCAGGCTCCTTCCCTCTAGAAAGCAAAAGGGAGCTGAGCGCCGCGCCAGGATCAGCGCCTGGCTCTCCCAGGCGGCGACAAGGAAAGCATCACCTCGCCCCCCGGGGCGGACAAGGGAGGGCCGGGCTCTCACCCCTGCATGCTCATGACCAGGGATCCTGGTTTTCTCCAATTAAAAAAAAAATTCCCCCCTTTTCGGTAAAAAAAAAAAAAAGTAACTCCAAAATCACATTTTTAGGGATTAAAATGAAACACCACTCATCTACAGATATATGAGTAGTAATGTTTCATTTTAATCGTAGAAAAATGTAAATTTACTTTTTTTTTTTTAAAGCAAAAAGGGGGGATTTTTTTAAAGCAGAGAAAACCAGGATCCCTGCGCAGTCCTCCCTGCGGCTGTGCGGAGCAGGGGCTGCCCCAGGGTGGCAGGGGGCACGCGGAGCAAGCGCAGGTCGATGCCCGGGTGCAAGGGGCAAGGGGCGGCCGCCCCCCCGGCAGCGGAGGCTGCCCCGCTCCTCCCCCGCCGCCCGGGCGCGCCCCCGGCACCGACTGCGCGCACAGCTGAGCCGGGGATCGGGCTCCGGCAGGAAGTGCGTGCCTGACAGCCGCCCGCCCATTGGCTGCGTGCGCTCCTCAATGCATGTAAGCGCCACGGCGATTGGGGAGAAGTGGAGGGGGTGGAATCGGATACATGGCGTTCGGCCCCCGGGGAGGAGGAGTTGTCTGGCCACCCTGGCCTGGCCCGCGGTGCTGAGTCCGGCTCGCCTCCGCGCTTGCCAGGGGCAGGACGCCCGGCCTTGCAGGCACCACACACACCAGTGCCTGCCCTTACCGTCTCCACTTCTCTTGTGCCCCCTTCCTCTCCTCCCCTTCGTTTCCTCATTGCCAGCTATTTCCTTTTGCCTTTTCTACCTTGAAGAACTTAATTACAGTAGAGTCCGCCTGGTTTACCTTTGGCATTATTTCCCCTTCCTTTCCTCCCTTCCCTTCCCATTGTTTTCCTAATTTCCACCGCTTTACATTCTCCGTGACATCCGGTCACACTTTTAGCTGCTCTCATTCCTTGGCTCTTCGTTTCCTCATTGCCAGCTATTTCCTTTTGCCTTTTCTACCTTGAAGAACTTAATTACAGTAGAGTCCGCCTGGTTTACCTTTGGCATTATTTCCCCTTCCTTTCCTCCCTTCCCTTCCCATTGTTTTCCTAATTTCCACCGCTTTACATTCTCCGTGACATCCGGTCACACTTTTAGCTGCTCTCATTCCTTGGATTGCTCAGACCAGCAGACTCCCTGTGCCCGAAGAAGGATGTTTGTGCCCGAAAGCTTGCTAACAACTTTTCCCAACTACTCAGTTGGTCTAATAAAAGATACCACATGAGACTCCCTATGCCTGGAGAAGGGCGATCACGCGGGAAAGCTTGCTAAGAACTTTTTTCCAACTACACAATTGGTCTAATAAAAGATATGACATCTATCCAAAGACGCTTGCCTGCCTATATCCTTAGACCAACACAGTTACAACCAAAACCCCTCCACATAAATCACATGGTGAGCCAGAATTGCAGCAGGCTGGTGTCACCGGCCCCAGCAGGGCATGCTGAGAAATGCTCAGGAAGGTCTGCTCGCCTGTACCACCCCCACGCTGTAGCACAGTATCCAAGCATCTTCCAGCAGAGCAGTGGTTTTTAACTTGGGCTCCACAGACTATGTCTAAGGGGTCCGTGAATGACAGCTATGATGAATCAAAGTATGCGAATACCCACACTTACAAGTCAAAGGGGTCCGCACATGCATTTGAAATTTTTTAGGGGTCCACAAATGAAAAAAAAGTTGAAAACTATTGCTGTAAAGGGATAAAGGAATCTGGAGAAGACGGCCATCAGTGCCATCACTCTCATGTACCAAGCAAATGCTTTACCTTCTAGGCTAATTCTCAACCATATCCCTTACAGACAGACTTGGCAGTGGTTATTGGAGTTAGATGTTAGCAGGCGGTGCCCAACTCAGGCAGTGGCAGATCACTGAAAAAAAAAAAGCCTCAATAGAGCCCTGGATCAAAATACCAGAGTAGTTTGCTGTGAAGCCCTGAATATGAATTTGGAGAGAACACTGCCTGTCTCATAGATTAACATACGGCAACATTCAGAAACTATTTGCATTTTAGTTGACAACCACTTTAAGTGTTATCATGTCTGTTTTCTAGCTGGAGACACTTGTTCAACATCAGACAGGAGATTGTAGGCAGAATACCCTGAAGGTGTGTGGCTCTCAACTCTGTGCTTGCTTCCTTCCTGTCTCTTCATCACACTTTTCTGCACAATACATTAATCCCAGCATGCACATACTTAAAAAACGATGCTCTGTACTGGGATAATTATTACATTGTGTCAATATTATAGGATTACTTTGATTAATATTTTTAGTACAGTGACATAAAAACATCCAAATAAAATTAATAGTAAGCATGACTGGACATTGCATTGCTTTATGGGGGAATTGTGTTCACAGTTGTGATCCCTTCCCCCAGTCCAGTATCCTGTCTCCAAGAGCAGCTAGCACCAAATCCAAATAATTCAGAGCAGGTAAAGAAAGAGAAAAATAAGCAGATGTAGGATAGATTGTAAAAAGGGGTGATTTTCCCATATCAGCTCTGTGTAGCTCTAGTATTCAAAAATGGAAAAGACAGGGTGAACTAGTAAACTAATCCTATACTTGATCTCATGTCCTAACTAAAGCTCACACTTGAGGTATTATTGCTTTGAGAAAGTACCTTCCCCTATTGCAATGAGAAACAGGATTGAGTTTCAAAGGAAACCTAAGGAAACCTCACTATGATTTATTAAGTGTCATCAGTGGTCTTGGCTTAGTACAAAACACAGGGACAGAGAATTAAATGAAGGCCCAAACATGCTTTGGTGTCCTTGCCTGTAAGCAGTGTTTTGGCATCATGTGGTCTGCAGCTGTGCTACTTGGTGCTGTGATCTTCTCAAATCACAAAGATGACAAGGATAGGTCTGGGCAACTATTGAATGGATAATGTCTCTGGAAGGGAGATGATGGTTCTCTACTGCACTGCTTTTGCTGCCTCTCTCAGTTGCTACAAATGCAATAGCCTATGTTTATGTAAAGGAAATCTATGCTGCCGATAGTGCTATCCTTTGAAAATGAGGAAAAAAAACTAAGTCTGACTACTTTGATTTTTAAAAATCCCACAATTCTTTTAAAGAGAATTAGGAATGTGTTCTCTGATACACTGAACAAATTCCACTTTAGCTAGTTCTCTTCTTCCCCCATATCCCTGAACATTAAATGAGATATAGCTTTCTTCACTTCCTCAGACTATTGCATTGTGCTGTAAGACAGCTACTGTGTTTCAGTGCAGTGGTAGCTTAGCAAGACAAATAATAGAGTTCAGACACATAATGCACTGTGTGATGGTGCAGATGGTGGCCCTGTCTTAGAGCATGGCAGATGAAAAAGCCAAACAAGCATGTCTTTCTTTGGTGGATTAATAATGGGAGCAGGCAAAGAAGAGGCAGTGAAAGGAGAGGGAGGTGGTGAGAGCTATACCTGAGAACAGGGGTGAATTTCAGGATCAAGTTCTAAACATTGGGATAGCAAGGAAGAAGGCACAAAGATGACAGCGGATGGTGCAAAATTGGGGCAAGACAGGAGTGTAGGCATTGGGGTGGGAATAGAGGAAATGAGGGCAGAGATGTAGACAGGAAGGAGTGGTACAGTCTCTGAAGAAGTCTGAGACCTAGAGAAAGTATTTGAGAAGAGACCCTGGGAGGAATTCAACCAGGAAAAAGACACGGTCAGAACAGTGTAAGAGCAGCATAATGGATCCAGTTTGCTCTGACTTCAGTAGTTACTCTTGATTTACCATTGCAGAAGCATGATCAGAATCAGGCCACTGATTCTGGCAACAGCTAAGTCTGATCTAACTTCAAGTGTGAATGTTTTTTTTCCCCCAAAAATTAAAAAATCAGAATGAGTGTTCCCTGTGACAGAAGCATGCTGGATGAGCCTAAGGCATAGCACAAGGTTGCAACTAGGTGCCTTTCTGAACATTGTGTTAGAGAAGCACCTAATGTGACTTGGGCAGCCTTATGCTGCTCTGGGTCTTTTATGCAGCATAAAGGGACTGGAGTGAGGTGAGGATTTCAACCCATCTCATCAGTAAGTTTTTAGAGCTTTACATTTCTTACGAGGCATTGGATGAGGACCCTTTTATGTCTTGCCTCTTGAGCTCAAAGTGGTTTAAATCTGGTCCAAAAGGTGATCTGACAGTTGTTTCCATATAACCATAACCACTTATTCTATACTCTCCAGTGAAAAGAGCATCTGGTCACACTTTCAAATTTTAATGAAAAAATGCTAGTCAACCAGGCTCAGTGGTGCTACACTAGCTATAGCGCACCACGTCTGAAAGGGACCTAGCGGTCATAATTCACCATAAAATGAATATGAGCCACCAGTGTGATGCTACAGTTAGCACAGCAAACAATACACTGGCATGCATCAACTGATGTATCACAAGTAAAACTAAGGAAGTTACTCTCCTGCTATACTTGGCATAGGTGAGGCTGCAGCTGGAGTACTGCATTCAGTTCTAGGCACCACACTTCATGAAGAATATGGAGAGGCTTGAGAGAGTCCAGAGAAGAGCCACTTGTATGATTCGAGGCCTGAAGAATGAGCCATATGAGGAAAGGCTGACAGATATGGGACTGTTCAGCCTAGAAAAGAGAAGACTTCAGGGGGATTTGGTGGTAGCTTACAAATATATCAGGGAAAAATATCAGGAGCTCGGTGAACAACTATTCACCCAAGTGCCCCAGAGGAAAACCAGGAGCAACCATCATAAACTCCTAGAAGAAGGTTTCAGATTGGATATAAGGCAAAACTTCACGGTTGGTGTGACCAGACTTTGGAATAGACTCCCAGCAGGGGTGGTGCAGGCACCTACCCTGGAGATCTTCCAAAGGAGACTGACTGCACACCTTGCTGGGGTTATTTGACCCCAGCAGTCTTTCCTGCCCATAGCAGGGGGGCTGGACCCGATGATCTCATGAGGTCCCTTCCAGCCCTAAACTTCTGTGAATCTGTGAACTACAGTACTAACTGTTCCAGCAGAAAGATCAAGGACTGACCAGACCTGGAGAAGATTTCAACCCACAGTGGTTAGCAACCTGGGGGATACTTTGATGGTGTTAACTCCAGCTGCACCTGTCAGTGAAAAACAGAAACTTTGGATGCCAGGGCTGAAATCTGGACCTTACTGAATAGTAGAATTCCCATACTGGATGCCTTGCATTTATAGATAATATACAGGAGTGAATGGTCATTTATAGACATCTGGGACTGAAAGCCATTCTCATATAACTGTTTCTCTGTTCAGATATTATTTGGAGGCATTATTTGAAGGAATTATCAATAGCTTTTGAATCTGAAAAGTGATTTATAGCCATACTAGGAGTGATAAAGCTGCCATATATGACATTATCTTTACAATACTGAATGCTTATGCAGGCATATTAAAGGATTAAATATCTATTTTATAAAGCTTATTCTGAGTTTTGATAAAAGATATTATAAAATACTTAATCAGGAGTGAATGATTCATCTTTTTACCAAAACTTTTGGCCCAAGCCCTGATTTCCTTGGTTATATTCTATTGCTTTTCATTGAGTCAGTTGCAAGACCTAGTTTATGTTTAGCAATTTTAATCCACATGTTGTTATTTCTCTCTGCATCAGGTTTTCATAAGGATTAAGTAACCCTACCGAATTTCCGTACATTGATCTGTGAGATGACCTGTTACCAAGTTTCAAATATATTTGGCTTATTTATGAAAAAGTTACAAAAGGAGCTTCTCTGCAGCTTAGCCCTGGTAAGTATAACCTCCCTTAGCTATTAATGTAGATACTTACACATAAGACTTACTTTTTAATGAACTATGTATCATGTGGGCTTTAGATATTCACACATTCTAGTCTCACTTATGCTGGTACAAATCAGGAGTAGCTCCATTCAAATCAGCTCTACAGTTGTAAAGAAATCAGAATTAGGCACAAAAAAGAACATTAATTGTCAGTATCTAGTAATATTTGTTGCTATACATAAAACAAGAAAAACTGAAAGTGGCTGGATATCAAAACTGGAAAATGGAAAAAATGAAATGTTTTCGAGGACAATAAGCATGCTGTGGGGTAGAATCATTGTCCAAGGAAAAGATGCAAATAAATCATTAGCATTAGTTGGAAGAGCAACAAGTAAATATGGGGTCAGATTTTCAAGGATGCATATAGGATTTGGATATTTAGCCATCATATAATCCCTTAGGTGCCTTCAGAAAACTTAGCCTATGTGTACAGATTCTTACATTTTGAATAGTTTGGGTTGCATTGGTAAGCTGTCCAAGTTGACCCATCCTCAGGTGACTGGGGCAATCAGCTAAACAGTCCCTTTGAACCAATGGAGTGGTGTGGACAGGTCATATTGGTGCTTGGGATCTGGCACAAGGGCCCTGAAGCATATTTTTATATGGGTTGGGTTAAACATTGTTAACGCTGGTGAGTCTAGCAACTGCCTTCACTTGGGATAAATACGAGCAGTTAAGGCTATTGAAACCATAGCAGCTGTCACCCAAAACATGAGCAAGTATCACCAACCAAAATGACCCATGCAAGGCATGTGACAGCTGAATGGTTTCCTGTACATTTGTGTGTTGGTGTAAAAAGACCAAGGAAACGAGAGAGAAAGGGCAGTAAGGAAGAATCAGATGCTGCTGCTGAAGCACTGGATTCTGAGAATTAAAAACTATGAAAGAAATTTTGGGTTAAATGCTGCCTAGAATGGCCCCTGGACTGTGTCCTAGGAAACTGTTCCTTGCTGTTTTCGTTCCATGTATGTTAAGGGAAAGAGGACTTTATACTTCCTTAGCAAATATGCAAGATCATATCAAAGACAGCCCCATCATCAATATTTCATAACAGAAACAACCAGCAAGACCCCAAATTTGGGCTAACTGCTCAGACAAGAAAAGGTTACTATATAGTTAGGTGTTTGCCATCATTAAAGTGGGAAATTTCCTCTTTTATTCATATCTGGAAAAGCTCAGTCCAGCTGTATAAAAAGTAACGGTCCCCAAGCAAATAGTTTTCTGGGCTTAAATCAGAAGTGAAAGCTATCGAGTCTCAAACTGTCAGGAAGTGATTTCACCTAAAAGCGCTGAAATGTCTACTTCTGTGGTATGAAGCAAAATATAGGGAAAAAGCTTGAGACCCAAGAGAGAAGGAATGACTCACCTCCTCCCCTTTATTGGAATATGGATTTTCTTATTAAGCCTTAAGAAAAGCTAAATTCTAAAAATGATCGGAAAAGGGTGTAGGGAGAAAAACACTGGAGCTATCTTGATTCTTTGCAATGCATAAAGGAAGTCCGAGAATTTTTAAGGGGTTTGGATTTTTTACTTTGGATTTCTGACAATACATGTCAGATATTGCAAGTTTATTTTTACTTCTTTCTGGCTGAGAATTTCTTGGAGCTCTGGAGAACTGAGGTTGAAGCATTCTTGATCATCAGGTTCAAGTGCTTTAATTTTTATGGGTAATTTAGGGTTTGCTTGTCATAGATGCTCCATCTTGGTGGACCTCCTCTGGACCACTGTTTCAGGGTGGGACAGGATTTGACACATACTGTAGGGTGAACTCTCAAGTAGAACCTTCCCCTTTGGTTGATTATAACATAGGGCAGGGCTGTCCAACTGGTGGCCATGGGCTGCTTGTGGCCTGCAAAGTGTTCAGTTGTGGTCCCTGGGCTCCAACCTGGTCGTTGCTCCCCTCATTGCTCTGGCTGCAGCACCAGCTGGAAGCTCCAGCTCCCTGCCCATACATCCTCCCTCCCTACCAGAGCAGGGTGGTGCTGCACAGCACAGCCTTCAGTGGTGGGGAGCCTGCAGCCTAGGGTGCTTGAGTGGCATGATGCAGTGGCAGAGCTTGCAGTAGGGAAGCTGGGGGTGCTGTGCAGCAGGGAGGTACAGGAAGCAGCAGCAGGGAGGGCACCCAGTGCAGAGGCATTGCAGGAAGCATGGTGGGGGTCACCTGTTGCAGTGGGGAGGTGCAGGGAGTATAGGTGGTGCAGTGTGAAGGCATGAGAAGCAGCAACAAAGGGACACATCATGTAGTGGGGGGCACACAATGTAGTGGAGGCATGGAGAACCTGTAGTGTAGCAGTGGGGTACAGGGAACAGCAGTTGGGACATGTGGTGTAGTGGGGGGGGTGCATAGGGAGCAGCAATGGGGGTCATGCGATGCAGCATAATGGGTGCCTGGGAGCATGGTACAGTGGGGAGATGCCTGGGCACAGGGTGCAGCAGCAGGGGGTAGGGGGTGCAGTGGGGGGCAGCACTTGGGTGTGGAGTGCAGAGGGGACATGCCGCCCCTGGGGGCCATGGCTCCCGCTGTTGTGGCTGCTGCTAGGGTGGGAGGGGGGGCGTTCAGCCCCCAGCCACTTAGAAGTTGGAGAGCCCTAATAAAAGAGATCCAAGGAGAGCTTGGCTTACTCTCTTAAAGCTTAATTTGGGTCCTACTGAAGTCAGTTTAGCCCCTGGTGAGTATCACAAAGGGAACAGCTCTGCAGCATATTTCACTTTTGGGTGACTTCCTCCAAATTCATGAGGTTTCTGTCAAAAACTCCTGGCCTTTTCACCCCTTGCAGTATCTTAGCCTAGCTAAGCACAGAGCTCTTTGCACTGGTTCCCTCAACCCAAGACCTTGCATGTCA